TACAAAGTTCCTCCTCTGAAGATAACCCCCACAAACATTCCACTGAAGATAACCTCAACAATCATTCCACTGAAGACAACCACAACAAACGTCCCTCAGAAGAAAACCACCGATGCCTCAACTGCCACCAGCTCGGACATGGATTGTTTCATTGTGGCCAGCCCATTGAAACCAGAGTCACCTTCGACGACCTCACAAACACTTTATTCAACAAACGAGGCTCTTTGTATAACGCCAGAATACAAAGATATTGGTACTGGTGTGGAGAAGCTGCCGAATATTTCCGAAGATACCAAAGTTCCAAGTATTGAACCCACCGACGAATTGGCCACAGCTATCATTGTGCCATTGGGTCCACGTGGATTTAGAAACCTGTACCATTTACCAAGTGAGCTGTTTAAAAATGATGTCTTGACTCTAGTGGTTATGTTACTTACTATACAGTGTGTTGGAACCCTTAGGAAACAGAGTGTGTTACTTTGACACTGACAGCATCATCTATCGACATCTACCACTACAATGGAATCCAACCGAAGGTTCGTCGTTGGGAGAATGGAAAAACGAGTTACCAGAAAATGTACACATCACTCAATTCGTAGCTGGAGGGCCTAAAAATTACGCTTACCAACTGAGCAACGGTAGCAATGTAGTGATTGCTGCTTTTGTGACAGCCCAAGCACGTTTAAAACTATACAGTGTGTTGGAACCCTTAGGAAACAGAGTGTGTTACTTTGACACTGACAGCATCATCTATCGACATCTACCACTACAATGGAATCCAACCGAAGGTTCGTCGTTGGGAGAATGGAAAAACGAGTTACCAGAAAATGTACACATCACTCAATTCGTAGCTGGAGGGCCTAAAAATTACGCTTACCAACTGAGCAACGGTGAAACAGTCTGTAAGATGCGAGGATTTACATTGACCTACCGAGGAATGCAACAACTTAATTTTGAGACGGTGAAAAACATGGTACGACATTTGGAAGAAAACATCAGTATACCTATAGATAACCCCCATAAAATCGTCCGATCACGTGACAGAACATTATGGACCCGTCCAGAGCAAAAATTATATAAGGCTGTTTACACCAAACGAATGGTTCATTTCAACACGAGAGGAGAACCTGATAATACCTTACCCTATGGATTCACTCAAGCCGAAAATTAGACGGAGGTGGTTAAAATTTAGAGTCGAGAATTATTATCTACCAGCAATCCAAAATCAACAACATTCAAATTGTATAGGTTGTGAAACGGATCATCCTAGTCAAAAATATCACAGCTGCCTGGGAATCGGATTTTCGTCATGTGGTCGTAGTCATCCAGTCGATGATTATTTGTTTTTGGCCTTGGAGGAAAAACCTAAAGACGAAGACATTGACGCCGTATTAGGCAGTTTAATCGAAGACCCGAAAGGTCACGTGCAGTTGTGGGAAAACGAAGACGATTGGTCAATCGACGTAGAAAAAGAATTAAGAAAATTCTGGAAAGAAGTTCCTGGTTTACGTATGATATTACCAACATGGAGAAAAGAGAAAGAGAATTGTTAAAAGACGCATTGTCAGATCAAACAGTAATGATTTGGAATGAAATGAAGAAAAAATATCCTTTCCTAGCTCCTATGGTGTGGTACGATAAAGATAGTGTTGTTTACCATTGCATTGAATATCTTGTGAAATGTTACAATCCTCAAACCATGCAAGAAGTCTTGGATGATTTTTTACAACCAACAGCAAACCACGTGACTCAGCTATGGTGTGGTACGATAAAGATGGTGTTTACCATTGCATTGTATATCTTGTGCAACGTTACAAACCATGCAAGAAGTCTTGGATGATTTTTTACAACCAATGAAATCACAGCAAACCATGTGACATATTGAACCAATCAGAATCCAGCAAACCATGTGACATATTGAACCAATCACAATCTAGCAAACCACGTGACCTGGGAGAGGGTATATGTTTCGGATCAGAGTTGGAAATTATCATTTTCACTTGGACATCCGATCGTGTACGCTCTATGTATAAGAAAAGGAGCTATGGAGAATGTTACCACTGTGGAGAAAAAGGACATTGGGTCCCAGAGTGCCCCTTGCGGACAAGAGAAAAAACTAACCAAGAAGAAAACAAAGACACCAGTCAAGACATCTGTTACAACTGTCAACAACGCGGACATTGGGCCAGTAACTGTCAACAACCCAAACGCAAACAACCCAGAAAAGGAAAATGCTATCAATGTCAACAAGAAGGGCACTGGAAATCCGAATGTCCTCAAAAGAAAATCATCGACAACCAAGGAGAAAACTCCGAAGAAACTGAAGTTAACAAAAGTTCCTCCTCTGAAGATAACCCCCACAAACATTCCACTGAAGATAACCTCAACAATCATTCCACTGAAGACAACCACAACAAACGTCCCTCAGAAGAAAACCACCGATGCCTCAACTGCCACCAGCTCGGACATGGATTGTTTCATTGTGGCCAGCCCATTGAAACCAGAGTCACCTTCGACGACCTCACAAACACTTTATTCAACAAACGAGGCTCTTTGTATAACGCCAGAATACAAAGATATTGGTACTGGTGTGGAGAAGCTGCCGAATATTTCCGAAGATACCAAAGTTCCAAGTATTGAACCCACCGACGAATTGGCCACAGCTATCATTGTGCCATTGGGTCCACGTGGATTTAGAAACCTGTACCATTTACCAAGTGAGCTGTTTAAAAATGATGTCTTGACTCTAGTGGTTATGTTACTTGGGGAATTGCAAGATTGGATGCAGGATGACGCCTTACAAATGATGTGTGGAAACATGTATTGGGTTCCAAAAAGTCTACGTTATTGTACCTGGACATACAACCAAATCATGCAGATGGAAGAAAAAGGTGAATAGATTGCGGTGTTTGCTGTGTTTGCTGTTATTTTCCTGTTTGAAGACCTTTGTTCTTTTTTAAAAATGTAAATACGTTTGTTATGTTGTTTAAAATGTTATATTGTAAAAATTTAAAATGTTGTATTGTAAAAATTTAAAATGTTGTATTGTAAAAATTTAAAATGTTATATAAAATTTGTTGAAACAAACACTGGTTTTTCCTTGGGGGTCTTTGTAACAATTTGATTATCCAAGCCCTATAAAAAGGAGAGGCTTTTGCAGACAAAGTCAGAATCATCATGGAATTCGACACGGCACTCAGACACCCATTCACAATGTTGGTTTCCGGTCCCACAAGTGTTGGGAAAACGGTTTTTGTTCAAAAATTGTTGGAGGCCAACATGTTTGACCCAGTACCCGAACGAATCGTGTGGGCCTATGGCGAATGGCAACAGTCTTACGAAACATTTTCTTACACTTACGTTCATGGCTTAGGAAATATATGATGTCATGGCTCAAGTGCCAGGGCCTCAAATTTTGGTAGTCGATGATTTGATGGGCGAAGATACGGCTGCCCTTGAACAATGGTTTACGAAAAAGAGTCACCACCGAAACACAAGCGTCATTTACATTGTGCAAAATTTGTTTGATAAAAAACAACGCACAATAAGTCTCAATGCCCATTATTTGGTCTTGTTTAAAAACCCTAGAGATGCTTCACAGTTGGGTGTGTTAGCCCGACAAATGTATCCTGGACATGCTCAATTCATGCAAGAAGCCTACACTGATGCCACTTTACCACCCAGAAGTTATTTGCCCGTGGATTTAAAACCCGACACACCCGAAGAGATGAGATTGCGAACAAGAATTTTACCCTCAGAGGCTCCAGGCTTCGTATATCTCCGAAAAGTATAAAAAGGGACAATCACTTCCTGAATGACCATTTCACCATGGCACGCACCAAGAACACGAGAAGACTTCACCAACCACACCCAGGGACAACTCGGTTGCCACGAGCTCAGTTTGTACCTTTCGCCCCATTGGCCCCTGATCTCAGAGATCCAACAGCTCGGGTACCTACCCGACCCACCATCCCAGGAGCCAGACGCAGAATCATTTCACCCACCCCACTGCCCTCTTTAACTCCGCCACCAAGACCCATCTCGCCTTTACCACCAACTCCACCCAGACTGCTTTCTACACTGGCCCCAGATTTACGTCCAGAGTCACCCCCAATGCCAACATCACCAGAACCACAACCACGTCGAAGTTTGAAAAAAACACGCCAGACCAAACAATTCCCAACGAAACAAACAAAGAAGACAAAAAAAGACAGACAGACAGCGGATCCTTTGACTCGAGGTCGAAAAAGCAAGCAAATGAAAGAGATGGTAGATTTTATTAAACGTTTAAAACGTCTCAATCCAGAAATGGTCTACACGGAATTGGTGAGAAATGTGGGTACGGCACGCATTGGTTTGTTACAGTGGTTTAAACTTGCGGCCAATCATCTCCTGAAAGGGAATATTCAACAGTTACACGCTCAACACACCAAATGGGTTGCTAGAAATAAAGATGTTTTAAAACAATTGACTTAAAATATAGGCACCAAAGAAAAATTAGCTTTGGTCATGAAACCCGGGGGTCAAGGTTTTTTTGGTGGAGTGTTGATACGTATTTTGGTTCGATGGAAAGAAAGATTAGAGCAAGAGAAAAAGAGGAAAGAAAAAAGAGCTAAGAAGAGAAAAGTAAAAAGGGCGCTGCAAACATTTATTATCATTTGACATCATGGCACCACGTCGTAGCATCAAGTGTGTTTCTAACCAATGTAAAGCCATTTTAAACGGCAAGACTCGATTAACGACACAACAACGTCGTCTATTAACACCACACAAAAGAGCCCTGCGAACTTTAGCCAACCCTCGAACCTCTGTGCGGTCCAAAAGAAAATTGTTAAACCAAAAAGGTGGCTTTCTAGGTGCGTTGTTGGCTTCTTTGGCCTCTAGTGTCATTGGACCTATCATCGGTGCCATTCGACAGTGATAGGGTATATAAAGGAGAAACCTAGGACTCTGGTCTCAGTCATGAAGCCTCAACAGACCTTGAACGATTTCTTAAAAACCCCTCACAGTTGGCGGAATCATATTTTGAACGATAAAAAAGTCGTGGATTGTTTATGCGAATGTATTGGTAATTTGATTCGGGGCACCTTACCACTATCAGCTGCAGAAACAAGACGTTTACGATCAAAGTCAACCTTACTTAGACGTCTGGGCACTCCCAAAACACCTTGGAAAACCCGTAAGAGATTACTTCAACAACACGGTAAAGGATTGTGGAAACCTGTCTTTCATCCTTTGCTCAACAAATTAAAACAGCGATGAAGTTTACACGAAAAATGAGATTGGTCCCAGCAGATGAACCAGAGAAGATTGTGACGGTTAAACCTTACGGAGCCGTGTACGATCAAAATCCAGTTAAAGAAGCTTTAGAAGAATTAAGTCAAGAAATGCAACGTTTACTCAAGTCCAATACTTCAGACGATATTAAAATGGATCAATATGGTCAAATGTTGCATCGATATCGAATACTGCAAAATAAAAGACATGCACGAACCATACCCGAGACAACAAACAACAAACATGACGACATCGCTTCCGTGGAAAAACCCTGATATTTTA